AAGTTGAATTTATCTGAGGATTTATACAGGCCCTTGTTAAATTTTAGGTTTCCCCACTCTGTGTGGAAAGTTAGGATGTGTCAGGTTGTGGGTAGAATCCTACAAGATTCTATTGTGCAAATATGTAAATATCTCTTGTTGTATTAGCAGGTCTGTTCTAACTTTGGTTATATATTGTGGGATTTTGTCCTTTTTTGTTGTAGTGGGGTGGATGGATTGACAGGGATAGGAGTAAGGGAGAGTGCATTATTCTTCAGGATCGTGAATGGTAGCAGTATCTAGAGATGTAGAAAGCTGAAAAAATATTTCAGTATGTACTTGGGTTAAGGGAGGTACAGTGCATAAAGCCCGGAACATGAGCAGCCTTAGCGTATTTCAGTGGGTAGGTGAAAAAAATGTGGTATCTCTCCTCCAGGAGCCATGTGCAAAAGGAGCCAAATTATACTTTGTCAATTTCTTGTCTTTTTAAAGATGGATATTATAAGACTTACAGAATTGTTTTATTTATGAAATAATATTGAGTGGGTGTTTAGAAGTCAGCTACCTTTAAACTTTTTGGTTTGTGGCCTTTAGTAAGGTTAACCATATTTAGCAGTATGCTAAAGCATTTGTATATCATCTTGAAATATGTATGTGTGAGTAAAAAGAAAGGGCTTCAAATGCCTACTGCATACCTATATAAACACATACACACATGGATATATATATATATATCTTACTTATTGGACTAGTCTCATGTAGTCTCCAAAGTGCAGTTTCCTAGACTCCGGGGATGTGTAAAATAACTTACTGGAGCGTGGGAAGAACATATTAGATTTAATATTTTATATATATATATATTTTTTTTTATTTAAAGTTTAAAATTTTATCATGACTTACAATCTTAACTGCACTGCTGTAGAAGTACATGAGTTTTAATATATAAATAAATATGTACATATTTTAGGCATATGTTTGTTCAAAAATCTTTTCAGTAATAAAAGTGAGTGATGGAAAAGCTTTGGAGATCATTGGCATAGGGAATGATTTGGATGGGGTACAAGCGCTACTGTATTCAGGAGGGGGAATTGAGATTTGGTTTTCAAGGTAAGAGAGGTGAAAGAAACCCAAAGTGACACGGGTTTTTGGGTAGGTGGTGTCATTTGCCAAGATAGGCAGTATGATCACAAGGGGTGGTACAGGTTGACTGGAGGGAGAGGAAATGATGAATTATAATGCCGAGTATTTTTATAAGTGACTATGGGACGTTGGTAGAGATGTCTAAGAGTGTAGTTGAACACACAGATTGGGAGCTCAAAATAAGAAGTCTGGCTGGGGGCTTCAGATTCTGGAATTCTTAGTCTACAAGGGCTAGTTGAAGCGATGGCCTGCAGATGAGACTACCAAAGGAGAGTGTGTAGAGTGAAAAGGGGCTGGACAGAAAGCCTGGGAACACTTACAAACTGTCCAGGGCTGGGTGGAGGAAAAGGAATCCAGGAAAGCATTTCCTGTCCTGTTTCTTCTCTTAATTCCTAATTCTTTTTGTGTGACAGTTTAGTGAGTGACTTGAGAATTCACAAGTTTTTCCTGTGGTTGACATTTTTGAGGTAAAGATAAAATGACTTAGTAGTCATTTTAGACTCATATTGGAAGAGCAGTTTGATGTAATAAAGGCTTTGTAATTGAGAGGTGGGAAACTTGGGTTTCGGTACAAGCTCTGCCACTGAATCCCTCTGTGACCGTTGTTGGAATACTTCACCTTCACCTTCCAGGGCTTTGGTTTCTACAGCTGCACCATACAGAAGTGGTCAGTATGTTTCCATCATTCTGTCATTCTGTGAGTCACCCAGGCAGTGTGGAGGGCAGCTCTCCTCCCGTGAGCAGCCATTTTCTTGTATCATAACCAGAGAGGACAGGTACTGTGCCAAATTATTGCTTTAAGAAAACCTGCCAGGGGCGCCTGGGTGGCGCAGTCGGTTAAGCGTCCGACTTCAGCCAGGTCACGATCTTGCGGTCCGTGAGTTCGAGCCCCGCGTCGGGCTCTGGGCTGATGGCTCGGAGCCTGGAGCCTGTTTCCGATTCTGTGTCTCCCTCTCTCTCTGCCCCTCCCCCGTTCATGCTCTGTCTCTCTCTGTCCCAAAAATAAATAAACGTTGAAAAAAAAAAAAAAAAGAAAAAGAAAACCTGCCAGTGTTGACCAGCCAAATCTATGACTGTTAGTTCTTTGTGGGATGTAACTCTGTAGTATGTTACATTTTAATCTATCTGTGTGTGGAGAGCCAGTTACCTGGAAAATGCTGTGCTGAGTGGAGGTGGAACAAGCAGTTGACGTGGACTTTGCTGTTGAGTGTATTGTCTAGTTAGGACAAGTCGTGTTTATTCTAGGGAAACATAACAAATACCAAAGAATACTTTACTCATTGTACTGTACCAGATAATTTTCTGTAATAGATTTTGGGAAAAGATCAGCATTGGCTTAAGTGGTTTTGGAAGGCTTTATAAAGGAGCTTGGAATGGTATGAGCACAGAAATGGGTGACAGATGGGTGACATATTCCAAGGACACTGCAGGTATAAGGCAGAATTCAGTTTAATTTAGCAAAGTGTGTGTGTGTGTGTGTGTGTGTGTGTGTGTGTGTGTGTGTATCTGTTGAAGGCCTGGATTTTGTCCTCCAACTTTTGTCTGGTGTGGTTCACAGACGTGAGTATAGTTATAATAGACGTTTGAATTAAAACAACATGATATTGAGCATCACTGAAGGTTTGTTATTTGCTGTGCTAGAAACTTAAATAAAGAATCAGAAAAGGAGTAGTTCTGCTTATTGTGGTGTGAAGAGATGAAGAGTCAATGAAGGCCAAAAAAAAAAAATTAGCATTTTATTTTGTTGTAGGGAATATAGTTTCAGTGGATGAGGAAAGTATTTACATGAAAAACTTGCTGGGAATGTACCATTTGAAGTAGAGAAGTCACATTTGAGTGTATAAATGTTTATTGAATGTGAGTAACTTAAGCTTTTGTACTCTTTGTGAAATTCAGAATAATAATTAGCTCTCCAATATCTTACAGTTAATGTACGATTTTTCTTTTTTTTAGAGAGAGAAAGAGTGAGCATAAGCGGGAGAGGGGCAGAGAGAGAGAGAGAGAGAGGCAGGGAGGGAGGGAATCTTTTTTTTTTTCTTATTTTTTTTTATTAAAAATTTTTTTTTCAACGTTTATTTTTATTTTTGGGATAGAGAGAGACAGAGCATGAACGGGGGAGGGGCAGAGATAGAGGGAGACACAGAATCGGAAACAGGCTCCAGGCTCTGAGCCATCAGCCCAGAGCCCACGCGGGGCTCGAACCCACGCGGGGCTCGAACCCACGGACCGCGAGATCGTGACCTGGCTGAAGTCGGACGCCCAACCGACTGCGCCACCCAGGCGCCCCAGGGAGGGAGGGAATCTTAAGCAGGCTCCATGCCCAGCGTGGAGCCCAGCGCATGGCTTGATCTCATGACCATGAGATTGTGACCTGAGCTGAAATCTGGAGTCGGTCAGGTAGGTCAGGTAACCGGCTGAGCCACCCAGGCACCACTGTATGACTTCTTTCATATTATGATTTCAGTGCTTCCTAAAAGGGGTCATGGTAGGTCATATTTGATTGTTGGAGAAGGAGGTTGTAGTTTGAAAAAGTGCATTCAGCATTATATTAGGAAAAACAACAACAAAAAACACAATAGGAATGGATTTGTACTTGCTAAAGAAGCATGGATTTAAAAAGATTGAAAACTGTTTATTAAGTAGTCACTCAGGTTCTTATGTTTAGATGCCTATGACTAGTGAATGTGTTGGAGAGCAAGAAGAAAATTCAGAAATTAAGTAAAATGTAATCTACAGATAATCGTAACGATGTGTGTTGCTAAGAGCTTTTACATTGATCATTGTATTTAGATATTATTCCCACCTAGTGCTGAGTACAATGGGAAATTGATTCCTCCCTTTGTATAGTTTGTTTTAAAACGTGTTATATATTTAAAATATATGTAGTGCTGTTCTTGTTCCACTCCACTACAGGGCAGAGATGAGCTGTGGCAAAAGATATGGTCAAAATTTATTAGAGTTTTGATCAAGAAAGAGTTTTAGAGTGATCTACCTAAAAGTAGGTAAAATTACACAATTTGGGAACATAATTGACAATTCCCCTTAATGAAAATAATGTGAAACAACTGTTACTTTCAGTGTTTATTGATGCTATTATAACAGGATGGTTAACATTTCACTTTTCGCTAGCTGCGTTCACAATTATCTTTGTAAACTTGCCCCATAGGTAAATTCTCAAACAAAACTCTTACTAACTTACTCCTTTCTCCTCCCAGGGAAGGGCCAAATCTATAGCCACAGGGAGTGTAGAGAAGGAACAGCTTACTAGGCTGGTTTGAAAAATATCTTTTTTTTTTTTTTAACGTTTTATTTATTTTTGAGACAGGGAGAGACAGAGCATGAACAGGGGAGGGTCAGAGAGAGGGAGACACAGAATCCGAAACAGGCTCCAGGCTCTGAGCTGTCAGCACAGAGCCTGACGCGGGGCTTGAACTCACAGACCGTGAGATCATGACCTGAGCCGAAGTCGGCTGCTTAACCGACTGAGCCACCCAGGCGCCCCAGGTTTGAAAAATATCAATTGCTAGGTAATGTTTTCTCTTTTGAGTGCAAGGAGGATCTTGGAACAATTCATTTCAGGCAACTTTCCATGCTCATTTTGGATCAGCCTTTAATAATACGGCTTAACAGTTTTGTTAAAGTCTTTAGTTTCCTGCTTGTGTTTAAGTTTGTCCTTCAGTCTTCGAGTTTATTACATGCCCCCTCAGCAGTTTTTTTTAGTTTAATGCTTGATTGTTTTTTGTTTGCTTGTTTTGTCCTTACCAGGCTAACAGTTTATTATAAAAGGATATAACTCATAAACAGCCTGGTGGAAGAGATGCGTAGGGCAGGGAAAAGGGAAGGGGCAGGGAGCTTCTTCCATGCCCTCTCCCTAAATCTCCACAGTTTACCAACCCGAAAGCTCTGAATTCTTTTTTTTTTTTTTTTTTTCTTCATTCTCACATAGGCTCTCCTTTTGGAAGGGTGGTGGTAGTCTACCAGTTACCTGTTTCCTAGATCACTATTGGCTCTATCATAATGTGTCTGATTGGCTTGAATTATTTTGACTTCGGTGTGGTTTTTCTCGTCCATGCTTTGCCTGCCATGTTGATTCTGTTGCTCATATTTAAGAGTTCTATAGGGATTTCAACTTAAATTTCCTCCCTGAGTTCTCTATGCTTTTCCTCTAGTTTTGTTCTTAACTGTTTTTGACTGATTGTTAGAAGACCTATTTGAGATTTTCTAAGTCTCTTCAAGAACATAATGAATTCATCTAGATTTTCTCCTGGAAGATTCTTCACTTCCTTTAACTTTTCTTCTGTAGAAGTTTTTCCTGAATAAGTTCCATGCCCTTACCTGCCCGGCCCCCCCCCCCGGCCAGCTGATTTATTTTTGAGGCTCTTTATGTGCCAACATGCAGTATATCCATTCTTTATCTTTCCTGTGCACTTGTGGACTGGGTTGTAGGTGATGGTGATCCATCTTCCATATTCATGTTGCCTTGGAGAAGGTGGGTAGAGTACTTACTAGTGATGAATTTTGCTTCAGTCTATTCAGTTATTGTCATTTTCTTAAAGCATCTAGTCCCGTCATGAGCCGTTCTCAGGTTTCAAATCATTTTGTGAGCGTGTAGCTTTGGAGCAGACTAACCTTTGTTGTTGGAGCTCATTATCTTCAGGTTGATGCCACCTTTGGGTAAGAAGGGGTCAGTGCTCATAAAAAGCACTCTTTTATTCTGGGCGGGAGTAGTGAATTATAGAAAGGTTTCTAGTTGAGACTACTGTTCTATTTCTCCGCATTAGGCAGAAAAAGACTTCTAGTGAGGTATTAGTTGCATCTTCACATTGGAGTTTTTAGCCTTTTCTCTTTCCTATTTTCTCTCTCTTTCTTTTTTTCTTTTTTATCCTTTCTGCTAAGTTTTTGTTGATCATTAATTTTGGCTTATTGTTTGGGTCATAAACACTTTCATAGTCACCAGCACATACATCTTCCTGCCAGACAAAGGGAAGTAAAATGTTGACTTTCAATGTTCTTCTTGTAGGGGAAAGATGCTCTTGCCTCGGAGGGATGCATCCTCCCTCTCACCCTGAAATTTGATGGAATAGAGATCAGTAGCATTTCTGAGCACCTTCCATGTGGACTTCCCCATCTGTCTGCTCTCTGTGGGGAGAAGTGGGAAGAGCTGTATGTGAATTCTCTGAGGCTTGCAGTTTGGCTCTGTGTTGTTTTTATGGTCTACATTGATATTTAATACTATTCTTTTAGAATATTTTAGATTTTAGAAAAATCTAGATTTAGATTTTAGAAAAATATTTATTTTTTCCCTTTTAAAAAGCAGATACAGAAAATAATGATGGTGGGAGAGACTTGATGAATACAACTTTCTTATGTTTTTAGGAGAGATTTATGATATACCGTAATGTAGGTATCCTCATCTTTTCTACCATTAAGGGGAAAAGATTTTAAAATGTTATGGCATAGGGGCGCCTAGGTGACTTAGTTGGTTGAGCATCCTACTCTTGATTTTGGCTCAGGTCATAATCTCACCGATCTCATGGTTTGTGGGACCGATCCCTGTGTCGAGGCCCATGTTGGGTTCTGTGCTGACAGCAGAGCCTGCTTGGGACTCACCCTCTGCCTCTCCCTGGCTCACATGTGTGCTTTCTCTCTTTCAATACATAAACATTTCAAAACATAAATACAAATACAAAACATAAAAAAGTTAGGACATAAAAAAGGAAGTAAATTCTATTGTCTGAAAGAGCATTTGAAAAATGAAAACCCTTAACTTTTTAAGTTTTATTTATTTATTTTGAGAGAGTGCATATGTAGGGGAGGGGCAGAGAGAGAGAGAGAGAGGGAGAGAATCCCAGCAGACTGTGCATTCAGTGTGGAGCTTGAAGTGAGGCTCGAACTCCCCAGCTGTGAGATTAACCAACTGAGCCACCCAAGCACCCCACTCTTAACTTTTCTTATTAGAAACCTACTTATATTGAAAGCTTGAGCTTTTGAATCAGACCTAGGTTCATATTCCAGCTGTGTCTAGCTTTATCTGTTGTAGTAGATATGTAATAAATACTTGCTGACTTGAATTTAATTGGTTGTATTGAATAAAAATGTACCCTTTGCAAATATTTTATAGGAAGAAATCTTTTGTGGATGACTTCTTTTTGTACTAGTTGGCTTTGGGCACCTTATTTTAAAACTTGAAATAACTGTAACTCACCGTATTTTTAAAAGTAATTTTTCTGTAAAATGTAACTGTTTAATTTCTATAAATTTAGTACATAAAAAGTTACTGAAGATGTTATATGTAAATATAAATGCCAAATGAGTTATTTGTGACAATATTAAAAACATTAAGTATATATTTAGAAGTTTGAATAGAACATAAAATTACACTTAATTTGGTGGATAAAGGTGAGTTTAGAGTGGAGATTAAAATAATTATGTGCAGTTTTTGACAATGTATGCAGTTCAGGCTATTAACCACGAAAATGTTATTGTTTGGGGGAGATGTTTAAGATGATTTATTGTTTAAGGAATGAATTATGACCCCTTAGATAAACTTGAATATGGTAAAAAAAAATAATACTAGGGTAAAATGTCTCCACAGAAGTAAGATGCAAAACCTGTGGGTACACTCATGAAATTTGACAATTAAAATAACTTGTTAGCCTCCATTCAGTTTGAAGCACTGAGAAATAAACTCACAGAACATTATAAATCCTTTCCATTTCTATGCTTTGAGTCAGTTCTCACACTGGACAGATATTCTTTTTTTTTTTTTTTTTCAATAATGACTTGAGTAGGCCTTCAAAAACTTAGTTTCATGAAGCACAAATCCAATCTAACAGCTTGTGATTCAGACAGTCTGATCTCCATTATACCTGTGTGACTCTGGAGAAGTTATTTAACCTCTCTGTGGTTTGGTTTCCTCATCTGTAAAGCAAAGGTAATATCATTGCCAACCACAGAGTCACTTGGGACAGATAGCTGTTACTATTTTTTATCATTATTATTATTATAATCATTTGAAGGTGAATTAAAAATGAGGTAACTTTGCTACAAATTACCCTAAATCATCAAAACTCAGTGTATTGTGTTATTCTTGTCTGTGCCTGCTGTATACCTACTCTGGCCCTGTAAATGAACAAATAGATCTTCCTTTTGTGGAACTACAAACAGGACTACAAACAGTCCATGAATGAAATCCCACTGGTGTAGAGCATTCAGATTCATGTTTCTACTGGTAAGATGTCTTTTCAGGGAAGTTTCCTTCTTTCAGCCTCTCCTAGGTTTGCTTCTCCTTGACAGAAGCCTCAAGTCTTCTATTTGTATTAGGTATGTTCTCTCCTACCCTGATCTTGTGTAAGGTAATCTGTGATATTGATGTTCATAAATAACCTGTATTTTGCCTAATGTAATATAAAAATTGAGATTTTGCTGCTTTTATTATTTTACATATAAATTGTTAGGCATCCAAGTGTTTAGAACATGTATTTAGTAGAATAATCCTTAGATGTGGAACCTAAAATAAGTCATCTATTTATATTTAATTAATATGATAATTAGTATCTAATATTAAAGCTTCTGATTAAACCTTATTGTTAAACAGCACAGAAAGGTTTTGATAAGTCTCTGGATATAAGAATGAACATTTATCTGTTCTTGGCAGTAGTGTTATTTCTAACTCTTATCCTTTCTTCCAAATCTTGTTTCCCCCCTAATGTGGATCAGTCAAAATTTTTCTGGTTATAATTATGAATGAAAAAAAACAAAATCTTCAAACATAGTTCAGAAATTTGGAGCTAGGCATTCTGTCCATTCTCTTAACTCTGTGCTAGCCTGTTTGTTAGTGAAGTGCTGGGCATAACACACTCCTTGCCCTCCTTAAGCTTAACTGGTTTGGGTTTTGTTTTTGGTTTTTGGGTACCTCAATATTTTCAGTTACCTTTACCTTTAGTTTCTTTACTAAATATGAAGATACTGCACTTCATACAAAGAACGCCAAGCACTGACTTCCAGGAGATGGGTATTTATAAGACAGGTTAGCTTCACACAGCTAGTAGATGGATAAGAGCTACATGTGTCTTAAATACTAAATTACAGTGTTTTTTTTTTTTAATTAATTTATTTATTTATTTTGAGAGAGAGTGCACGTGTGTGCCATTTGGGGAGGGAGGGAGAGGGGGAGAAAGGGAATTCCAAGCAGGCTGTGTGCTGTCAGTGCAGAGCCCTATTCGGGGCTCGATCGCACAAACCTCAAGATCATGACCTGAGCCAAGCTCAAGACTCTGATGCTTAACTCACTGAGCCACGTAGGCACCCCTTCAATACTAAATTTTTAAAACAGATTGTTTATATTTGATTTAGTACATGCATGTGTGTCTGACTTAAAAACCCTCCACAGTTCTTGCCATCATCAGGGTCTTCAAGAGTTCATGCAGATAAAACTCACACTCTTTTCTAGCTGTTCTCTTGAGTCTTTCGACTCCAGTGGCCTTTGAGCACTGAATTAGAGACCCCTTCTGTCCTCACCTCCTCCTGGCCTCTTCTCTGATTGCAGCCAGTGCTGCTGGGAACAGTTCGTTTTACGACTCACTTTTGGTTGACTGCAGCATGCCTCAGGTTCCTCTTGGGACCTCCCTTGTCTGTCTGTGGGGTGAGAAGCTGGTGTAGCCTTCTGGGCAGATGCACTGTAGTTCTTGGAAGTGTGGGGGAATTAATACTCCTTGGGGCAAACTTTTACCTGTGGGGACTAGAATTAATTAATGTACTTCTCCACATTGACCCTCTTCTGGACACAGTTTCTGTATGCTTCTCAAAACTTCTCAGCCAGATCAAGCCCCCAGGCACCCCCATGGTAAATAAGTCTCCTGAATTGGCTGTCTCCGTTCACTCTTTTTAGTATCTGTGTCTTTCCCTGGGGTCACCTCGGTAATAATAATCGCCTGCACTCCTGTTTTTGTCTCGACCTCTACTTTCAGAAGGAACTCTGGCCAAAACAATTGCCCGAAGCTGTAGCATCACTTACACCTTTTTACCTAAGACTGCCTGTCTCCGAAACGAGAAACCTGTCCTTATTTTCCAGCTCTCTTCCCTCCCCTGTTTACATGAGCCCCTTTTCTCTCACCTACCTGTTGTGCTCTTTGTTGCTAACTCTTTGTCAGCAACGCCTAGGCCTCCTCAGTGCCTGCACTTGTTCTGTAAACCAATGGATTAATGCAGTGATTTCGAAGTGAAGTCTGAGAACCCACGGGAAGTAGTCTCAGTGATTTGAGCTGTAAGAATTTGTAAAACAGTGTTGTGCTTTTGTGCTAATAATTGTAACAGTATGCAACCAACATCTGGATTATCTGGTTGACTACCTTGTAACAGAGGAATTATTATTTTAGTGCCTAGTTTGTATTTGCATATGTAAATTTTGGTTCATAATGTGTGAGAGCCAGGACTACGAAGCATTTTATATCTAGCTTTAAGTTGGCTGTATATACTTAAATGAATTGAAAATTGGTATCACTAGGGTGTCTACAGTAACTATTTTCTATTTAGAGAGGATCTGCACATTAATTCTGAGAACTCTTCTGGGCTTCTGAGTAATGTCAGAGAAAAATGTCATACAATTTAATATAGTTCTGCAAAACTTTCTGAGCATTGACTTTGTGCCAGGTGCTTCTAGGTACTAAAGCTGAATAAGACACACCAAGCCTCTGTCTTCTTGGAGCCCGGAGCCCATCAGGAAAGATGGGTGTGAGCAGGTAGTTTCGAGTGTTGCAGATGGGCCTTTGTAAGCCCTCAGCTCTGTGATGCTGCTATATGCATTCCTAGTGTCCTCCAGCCTTCAGCCCCACCTACTCCTGCCCTGCCCCTCCTGCAGAAGGGACCTAGGCTGCCCTGCTCTGCACTGACTGAAAGAAGCCCCTCTCCTTGGGCTCCTACACTCACCCACACTCTGGATGCTCGCCCTCTCCACACCATCAGTTACCCTCTCCTGTGTCTTCACCTCTCCAGCTCGCCTCTTTTCTGGAGTGTTCTTTCCTTCACAGTCTCCTCTGTTTCCTAGTTTCGGTTGTGCCTCTATGCCATCCACTGTTGGGTAATCATCTCTGACCCTGACCTACCTCCTGAGATGAGGATCTGTGTCTTAACTTCCCCGTAGGTGTCGTCCTCCCTTGCTTCCCCTCAGGCTTCTCACCTTTCGCAGATCTGTAGCTAAGACATTTTTGCTCCTCTAACTTCATTCTCCTTCTGCCTTCTTTTTCAAAAATGGTGATTCTTTTCTTTCTCCCACTTCCTTTTCTAAGCAACTGTCAGGCCCCACTGGGCTACGTCCTGATCGCACGTTTGTCTTCTTGTTCATCACTACCGTGTGAGTTCATTTAGGCCCAACCTCAGCAGTGAGAGCGGTGCCCGTTTGTAGCTCTTCTTGACCCTCCTCCCCTCCCTCGCTGATTTTCTGCCATGAGTGTGTTTTGTGTGTGTGTGTGTGTGTGTGTGAGTGTATGTGTGTGGCATGTGCTGCTCCATCCTGTGGTGTCTCCCTGCTGTGTATCGGGTAGTATCTCAACTGGGCATGGCTGGCTGGCTGCAACCTAACTCCTCCTGCCTTGCTGTCCTCAGTTTCTTTTTCCCATCTCATAACTTAAGTTTCAGAAATGCATAAGTATGTTAAGATTCTTTTTGGCCTTTATGATTTTTTAAGATTTTAACATAATTTGTACTTTCGAAAATTACAGGGATAAAAATATTCCTTCCCACAGACTAGATTTAGCTTACAAATAACATATAGATACATGTTTTCTAGTCTTTCTTCTGTAAAGCTAGAGCGAGACAATCCCAGTTGGGTGGTGAGGGTTGGGGAGTCACCCAAACATGTATGTTTAGAAATAAGATTGGAAAGAAGTTATCTAATTCTTCTCGGGACTCCATGACTTTGCACGTACTAACCTCTTGCCTCGAACACTTCTCTCCATTTGCCTGCCTGGTTCCCATATGTCTGCATTTCTAGTGTTGCCAAACTCATGAAGCCACTGAACGTGGCTAGGCAGATTTTGGTGTCCTCAGTGCACTTTGTCCTTATTTTCATTACAGAAACCATCATATCATATTGTAATCATTTGTATTTTTGTCTTGGAATGGAAAATTCCTGAGATAGCAAATTTTGTATCTCCATATATGGCCCAAAACCGGACATAGTTGGCAGAGGAGGAACTTCCAGAGCAGTGGGGGAGAAACCAGTGTTATGCCCAGAATTCGTGATCCCCAAAGACCACTAGGGAGCCGAGTCCGATGCAAAAGCAAAGAGCCTTTATTCGAGCTAGCTCCAGCTCAATCCCCTACCTGCACCGATGCAGCGGTGAGATACCAGGGAAAGAGAGCGAGTTTCAAAAGGACAAAGGTTTTATTGGGGCCTGGGGGCAGTTGGTGAGGTAATGGCTATGGCCTCAGCCGATTGGCTGGGGAAGGGTCCTGGGGAAGGGTCGAGTCCTGTTAGGCAGGTGAGGGGGGGGTTACTCAAGGGGAGGAGGTGTGGTCAAGGTGAAGGACACAGAACAAGATGGAGTCAGC